TCTCATCTTCAGAAAGGCGGTTTAACAAGTGGTTTTATGATCCAATCTTTTCAAGTTTCTTTATTCTCCGCTTGATGTTACTTTCTATTGAAAACTACCCTATATTTTTCTAAATAGCCAGCAGCTTGAATACTACTCTGTTTCCAATGCTTCTCACCTTTTCCTATTCTTTCCTCCTCCAGCTAACATCTCGTCACTCTTCTAGTTGAGTGTTTCTCGCCGATGCCGTACTATAAAACCCTGGTTCATTGAATGCAGGATATTACAGGCCCTAAGTGACTTCATTTTCCCATCTTAACCTAAAGGATCTTCATACTCCTGAATTCAAGTCATGCCAAACAGAGGCTTAAGACTATTGCTCCCTGCGCGCCTTACGCAAAGGTAGTGCTCTCCACAACTCATAAATTCTCGTTCCTCTTCTATTATATTATTTTACTTGACTAAGGCCCTATCCACCAAGGGATTTGTCGTATCTCTGCTATTCCCATCTCATATAATGCGGTCCTCGTGTATCTATAGTTCTGGTCTAATCGGTATATTCTCCACCTATCCACCTGACGGGACAGTGTCAGTGTTTTGCACATTTAGGAAATCATTAACTTCCCACCACCTGGATCTTGGTCATGATGCTTATTGACTGAGAGATGTATTATGCTCTTTGACATATAAATGGTAAATGGAACTTGTTATTCTTGGCATATTCCTGTGGGAAGAGGCCACTGTGATGGAGACTGTCCGATCGAGGTGTATATATGGTTTAAAATATTGGTGACCTATTAGTATCGCTTAACTGATTGATTATAGGTTTGAATAAGCTTGTGTGCTGGTAGGCAAAGGGGTGTACACACAGGTTATCTATGGCTTTTGTATCCTTATAGTGTAGACGTACTTCTTTTTCTCACCCTGGCAAAAGAGATAGCCTCTTGTTTGCAGTCTTCTTCTTTCTGTCTTGGAGCAGCTATCTAATTTTCATTATGCGCTCATTCATTGTCAACTGGACATCCATGACTTTCTTGCATGATGGGGCATCTTGAACCGGAAAGGTGCCTATATTATGGTAGCTGAACCTCTCTGGTCTTGTTTGTCTTCAGTGGGGATGAGATAGCTCGGACCTCTTTAGTATTGTGCGCAATACGTGCGACTCTCTCTAAATGGCTTGAAACCAAAATCTCCCACGTTCTGCCAAGATGGTTTATAAAAGGAATATCTTTGTTATAGATGTTAGGTGCTAGATAAATTATATGGTTGCACTCGCGTGTTCGAAGTGGACGATCTGATCAGTTCAGTTGGATAATCCCGCCTGGTGCCATGCGCGTAAATAATGTGGAAAATGTATAACTAATATAGTTGTTTAATGTTTGATGATTTATCGATTCATTGCTATAACTGTCTCTCCATTGTCTAAGGATTTTCAGAGATCTTTTCGCTCAATATACTTAAAGTTATTTTGTGTGGGAGAAGCTTTTAGACAATCATTTTCTTCGCGGAATTGATTTAGGTTAGCTACTAATACAAGATGGTGGAAGTTGCTCTCAATTCCCACAAGAAGGATTAGTTATGCCATTAATTAAAAGTTATTATATACTATTAAGAACTGTATGATTGGATTGTAATACTTGGTGGGAGTAGGTGCTCATGTTCAGATTCCCATGTAAAAATTCATATTTCAGAAGGGACTAGAGAGGAGCCATAAAGAATACTTCGCAGGCAGGCAAGTATCAGTGTGCTTGGTGTGGCGCAAAATAGTGGAGTAAGAACCTTGTCTGGTAGCTTTGGTAAATGACCGGAATATTTCTTTTTGCTTAGTGTGAGTCCGTTGGGTTTAGTTTCAATTTCTTCTTCAGTCTCCATCGTGGATTCATTGGATGCTTAAGTTCGCTATCTGGTTATATCAAAGGAACTTCCTGCGGCGGCGCTGGTCCGCTTATTATATTTAGAAATAGGGTCATTCACAAGAGTGGTGTTGGTCAGTATTCAAAATGCAGATTGGGCAGGTCTTCTCCCTCTGATCAGACGGGTCTCCTACTCTCGGTAACTTCTAATCTCACATGTGAGGAGGGAACTAATGGTTTGTAATGTCATGGAAAGCGTAAAGAAAGTCCATGGTACTGTTAGTGGAAGACAAGAGTCCGATATGCGCGGATTCGAGGAGATGAACATGTTGAGCAATGTGCAGTTAGGCTCACTCTCGTGAAGGGTTGGGGCATCTCCCATGCGGCAACTCCTTCCAAGGTTGAGTGTGGAGAAATAATAGACATAATGTGACGTCTAGTAATGTCTGTGGACACAACTACAGCTGCGCTCTACTATGGACACTGATTGCTCTGCGGCTAAAATCCGCATATGTTTCTGATAGATAAGACACTGCAAGGTGATTGAGATAGAGCCAACCATCAGTACTATTGTCATCTATCATCAGAACCATTAGATTGAGTGCAGGATGCATATCTATTCTTGCTTTGTCAAGTCTCGGAACGATCAATCGGCAGACATTATATATTACCCAAATTCGCTTTCACGAGGACCTCGAAGTTGGAATACATTTTGTGGGCAAGCTAGACTACAACATGATATGCTCTGGCTATGAGGCGCGGGCTATGAAGATTCATGTATCCTCAATGAGCGTAGTTGGATGATTCAGCTGTTGTATTTAGCTGAGTGAATTAGCTGTTTATAATTAGTTGTACATTAGCTTGCGCTTATAATTTATACCGGATTTTTATCATTAGCAGATATATATTTAGCGTCCTTGATTCGTGCCTGATATTGTACTTAGTGTTTGCAGTATATTTATTTAGTCCCCAATCCATTGAGGAAATAGTCGAGCGTCGAAATTATTTCCCTTCTCATTCTTCTTTACTTTATACATTTAACTATGAAATTACATACTCTTATATTCATCTTAAATACTAATCTATTTTCATATAAAACTAGTATTACAGATCTTCTTGCTTTTTATATATAGGTAGTGGATACGAAAGCTTACTTTGCAAGTGTAAGATAGTGAAAAAATTAGTTCGTGACTGATTAGTGTGTCGGAGCATCATTAGACCCAAAGAGGAGATAGTGTGCGAACCAATTTCGTACCCCAAGATAAGACTTTGAACAAAAAGAGGAAAAGTTTTGGCCATAGTACCAGGGAAACAAAAGAATAAGATTAGCAATTGGAACTTATGAACTTTTCCTCGGATTAAACATCAAGTATGTCAAGGGTCTTCAAAATTAATTTCTTTTATAACATAATGTGTATAGTAGAAAAATTATATTGTTAGTACCAAAAAATGAACTTTCTCAACATGCAAACGTACCGAACCATCATTCACATTGATTTCAAGTTCTTGGATAGTTGCTAGAATGCAATGTGCCTAATATTATTTCTCAGACAAATTTGAGAATGATGAAATGTCCCAGTTTGTTTTACCAACTAAAATTTCGTGCGGATTGCTAAATTGTCCTCTAAAAGGTATTATTTCGCCAAAAAAAAAAAAAAAAAAAAAAAAAAAATTCTAAACAGGAACAAAAAAAATTTTGACTATGAATCCCCATTAACATCAAGTAAGTACTCAAAAGTTAATTTTTAATTTTAATAGTTATAGTAGAAAATTATTGTTATTACAAAAATAACTTTTCACATGCAAAGGAACCATCATTCACATTGATTCAAGTCTTGGATAGTGGTAGAATGCATGTCCTACATATTATTCTCAAGCAAGAGAATATGAAAATGTCAGTTTTTTTACAATAAATTTTGTATGTAAAAAATTATCAAAAACTTCAATTTTTGGGACTAGTTTGGATGTGGAAAGCTTTTTGGAAAATACTTTGAAGATATACTATTTTGGATGTAAATACTAATTTTGATAGTGACTTTCCAGATACATTTTGTTGTGTATAAAAGAATAACACATGTAAAGTATACTTTACATCCATAAAAAAAAAATTCATCTTTAAACTTAATATTTAAATCTAAATTCTAATACTTATTTTATTATATTCGCTATTGTGAAACGGGCTAGAAGAAGACCAAATCATTTTGTATATAAATAGCATTTTTTATGCAACTTTCTAATAGGTAAATCTTATTCATATATATGAAAAACAATCTTTCTTTTTAATGTTTCAATGTAAACAACTTTTTGAAATATATTAGATGATGAACATTAAATGAATATAAGTTTGACCATGGTTGAACTGCTAACAGCAGTACATGATGATTTGGTAGAGTGTTTAACACTGTAATTTTACTCTATATAATAATAATAAAAAGAAGAAGAATTGATCATTATGGATATAACTAGCCTTTTTAACAATGACTTCTTAAATATACTAAAAATGACTAATATTTGAGTTGAAGTCACTTCAGCAAAATATCAAGTTTTGTTTGTTACTATATGTCAGGCCACGAAACTTTTAAATGTTATTTAATTTATTGAGTAAATATATTTAACTTATTACACTAATTTTAAATTTTATATTTGTGAATAATAAATCTTTGCAATTAATTATATCTAGTAGACATATTATCTAATGATACCATAATTAAACTTAATACTCTGTTTAATATTATTATTATTATTAGAGTATAATAATTATAATATTGAAATATAATTAAATGTTCTCTTATTTTATTTATTATCCTCGTATATATTATTATAATTATACCTAGATGTCTAGTGTAAAAAAAAAAAAAAGGAATTGCAACAATTGTAAATAATTATAACCTAACAAGCATATTCTCTAATACAAAAGCACTAAGCTTAATATTTTATCTAGTAATATTATTATTATAATACTATAATATTGAATTATAATTACAGCCTTTTAATTAATAGCTCGTATTATCCTATATGATAACAATAAAGATTACTCTATATAATAATAATAAAAATTATTTTACTATCAAAACTACGTAGTTTTGATGTAGGAAGTCTAAATTAACGCGTAAGCAAAACCACGTCGTAAAAAAGAGCTTTTCCCTATTTGCAACTTGTTGCGCCGCCCTTTTCTCCTTCTACCCCAAGTCTTGTTCTTTCTATACCTTCACGTTGCTTTTGTGCCCGTCGACTCGGCAGCTCTTCAACCGTAGTGCCACTGCCAGGTTCCTCCATTTCCATTCTCGATTTTTTTTTGTTTTATTCTCTTTTTCGCCATAGGTTGTCTTTGTTTCTTTTCCTTTTTTTTTCCCCTAATTTTATGTATAAACAGACAAAGAAGAGGAATTGTTGATTATGTTGTTGAATTCATTTTTAGGTTTAGCCGAAGAGACAAAGATAGGTGTTATTATTTTGTTTTTTCTTTTATTGGTTTTGTGCAGGTTTTATTTGTTATTTTCCATCTAAAATGGGTTACTTTGTTATTCAAAGTTTCCTGTTAAGCTGAATGAAGGTAATTAATTTCTTGAAAATGTTTATATATTAAAAGAGAAAAAGAGAAGGGAAATTAGATATTTTGTGTGAGAAACAAGTCAATTTGGAACTCATATAATAACTGTAATACCAACAGATGGATATTTTTAGAAAATGACATGAAAAGTAGCTCTGTATAATGCAACTAAGATAGCTAAGGCTGTCAAAAACCTGTTGGGTTATATAACAACTAACTAAATATTATTGTATTTATTTTGATTTAATGAAGATTATTGCAGGAGAAATGAATTCCAAGTTTCTACTACTGATTACTGAATTGAAAATATGCAGAGGATGCAAATGCATAGTTTTTTTTTTGCATTATTTATTGGTTTGATTGTGTGTATCATTTATTTAGGTTGAATTTTAATTTTTTTGATCTATTTAATATTATTATATATTGCCCTTTTATAATTTCATGTTGAAATTGTTTTATTATTTTCAAGTTGAATTTTTAATTTGAATCTTTTTTATATTTTCTGTTGCATTTTCAGGTTTGGATACGGGTTTCAAAGGGATTTGTATTTCAATAGATTGAATGAATTTATGATTAAAAACGGGTATTTAAACAGATTTGAGTAGTGTGCGGGTAATGTCTAAACGGATTCGGGTATTATTGGTTTATTCCTTAACGGATTTGGGTACTTGAATTGACAATCGTGTTCGGGTAGTTGTTTTTTAGTGGTTACCTGCCCTGTTGCCATCCTTACCCATGATGTGATGAACATAAACCCTCGCTCTAGATTCAAAAAAGGAGGAGAAGAAGAGCTTTTTCTCCATCAAAAGGACAAAGAAAAAAAAAAAATCAAATGTAAAGAATGGCAGCAATGGCTTCCATTTCCAAAAGCCTAACAAGGGTCTATGCTGGTACTGGAAAGCGTTGGGCCATCGCTTCCTCTTCCTTTTTTTGTAGCTCAGCTGCTGCCATCTCTGAAACTCCTTCTACTTCCTCTCCTCAACCATCAAAGGGTCTGTATATATGTATATTCATTTCTTCGTCTATGTGTATATTCATTTTTTTCTGTGTTGATCTTGAGTTTTGAAATTTTATTTTATTGCTTTTATTTTATGCTGTTATAGGAGGTAATCTACAAGAAGAAGGTAGAGGAAGATGGTCAAAATGGTTTCTATTTGTACCTGGAGGTATCACTTTTGGCCTTGGAACTTGGCAGATTTTTAGAAGACAAGACAAGGTATTATTTCTCCCTTCTATTACGTTCTCCGAATAACAATAATTAGCTTCTTCAATAAATAATTAAATTTCGACTCTGTTTATGTATGTTTAATCATTTTTATTGTTGTTATTGTTGTTTTAATTAGGTGATTTAGGAGGAATGGGATTGGAATAAATTTTTGTTCCCCATTTATTTTAATTTTGACTCCTAAACACATGATTCATTGAAATTATCAGATTTTGACTAAATAACCATGTTTTGGTTATAAAACACTTCATCTTCTGCCATATTTTATGATATGAAGCTTATCAACTATGTCTACCCATGAAACTTTGTCAGTGTAGAATAAAGTAATAGGCATAAAGTTTTAACTTGACGCAAATGTGTCGATGGTTATTTTGGTTTATCCAGAAAGTTTTAATGTGCGAGTTGTCTAGTTATTTCTAATAAACTTAGTCTCACTCTAGGACAAAGACAGATATTGAAGTAGCAATGAGTGTGAGAAGATTGGGCTAGAAGTTAATTTTTGTTACTCCACTTTATCTCATATGGTAAAAAAGTTTGAGAAAGGTTAAAGTATAAACAATTGTAGTTATGCCTACAAAGTTTAATCTGTAAAAAGTTTTTTTGAACTAGGACCAAAATTGATAGCCAAGAGATAGCAAAACTGATGAATCTGTTACGAGAACTTAAGAACAAGTTGTGTGGAAATTTCTTTTGGTCAGTTTTTTCATTTGAATGACTCTTAATTTAATGATCTCTTTGTCTAACGAAATTCGGCTGAATAGATTTAGGAATTCTACAACTAAAGAAATGCCATCACTTAAATTTTAATTCGAAGATCTGCTATTTTCTTCCCTCTTTTAGTTAATACATGTGGTTTCTAACTCTTCATCGCATCATAATGCACATAGTTATTAAAGGCGCGCCTTACTTAAGGTTCAAGGGCTTTTGTGCCAACAGTCCTGAGGCGGGCGACTTCACTCAAGCTATCACCTTTGGGTAGACGCGTGTGCCTTTTGCACCTTTTTTGTGCCTAAGGCTTGAGAAAGGCGCGCCTTTCTATTTTTTTTTTCCAGAATAAGTCACCTAGGGTTTTTTTTCAATATAAAGCTATCTAGCCAACATTAGCTTACACAAAATAAATAAATAAATATAAAAGAAATAAAATGCAACACAAAAACCAGTGATGTGCTTTGTGATCCAACCTCCACTCCTTCATCTAGCATAAAGCTATCTAGCAACAGTTAGCTTACACCAAAATAAATGAAATAAATATAACAACGAAATTTAAATGACAACACAAAAACCAGTTGATGTGGCTTGTGATCCCAACCTCACACTCCTCTCTCATAGCATCACCTCTGCCAATCTAGTCTTTTAAGCGCCTTCCACTCAATATAACTCTCATTCAAATTTTTCTTCCTCTGATTTGCTATCTCTATTTCTAATATCTCTCTTTTTTCATTTTTTTTTATTTTGTACTCTTTTTTGCTCTTAATTTTTAGTATCTTAAAATGTAACTTTGTTCATGTGTCCATTTTTTTCTGATTTAATGCGTGTTTTCTTTCCTTGTTTTTTTTTTTTATTAGATATCTTTAAATTATTTTTGATTTATGTATTATGTTTTCTATCTTTTTTTTTTTTTTTTTTTTTTTTTTTTTTTGTGTGCCTTCACTTTTCCATTTCAGGGGCGTTTTTTTTTTTTTTTTTTTTTTTTTTTTTTTTGTGCCTCACTTCACTCAGGCGCTCCCCTTCGCCTGGAGGCTAGCGCCTAGGCTCTAGCAGCCCTTTGCACCTTAGTGCGCCTTTAATTACTATGATAATACATCATAGGTGTGTAAAAAACATACTGATTGAGGCTAACACCCAGTTTTACGAGGAAGAAAAAATTCTCTTACTTTTTTCTTTCTAAAACTCTACCATCTGTCCTGGAATGCTAAGTGTGACTGTCTCACTCATAACAACAGGTTCATATCTTATACCATGAAATTAAAGCTGCATCCACAATCTGCTTCTGTCTGATGGGTTGTAAAGTACAAGCACCTACTTCCAGTTTTAATTGACTTGCTGATACAATTGAAATTGTTTTTCCTCTGCAGATCAAAATGCTTGAATATAGACAGAAGAGATTGGAAATGGTACCAATGAAGTTTAATGACGTAACCCCATCAAGTGAACAATTGGATACTTTGGAGTTCAGGAGGGTGGCATGCAAAGGTGTTTTTGATGAGAAGAGGTCAATCTATGTTGGTCCACGTTCTAGAAGCATATCTGGGGTGACTGAAAATGGCTACTATGTAATTACACCTCTATTGCCGATCGCCAATGACCCCGAGAGGTAAGCATGCTGGGATTTTTGTGGTTGTAGGCTAAGTTAGATCAATAGTTCAACAGTGACTTAAGCAACTTGCTATAGATAATTAGGGAGTTTTCTGATTTGTTGCGTAGTCATAAGTAATCATGATTCTTATTCTGCATTCTTCAAGAAATTCTAAAATTATCAAATTTCCAATATGCATATGCATTGACATCTATTTCTATTGAGTTTCTGTAAAAACTAGTATTGTCAAATTTGCAAATATGGATCTTTCCAAAGCATGAAGAGCTCAAACTTCTCACTCAAGACAATTACAGATTAGTGCAGCAAATTATCAATTCATGAAGCCAACATTTTTTCCCACTTTTTTCCTATTCAAAATTGATTTTTTTTTTCCCACAAAAGCCCATGTTGTGCAAAGGCTGCAATTAACATGAAATATCATAAATGAAGAGAGTTCTATTTACTAACTGATCTTCAATCTAACTAGTTAAGTCATTTCCCTTTTTTGTTTGATGATGCCTTGTATAATTCCAAGTTTCAATATCTTATGAACTACCATATCTTCTGAGTTTGGTTATTTCTTACAACTACATTTAGTATTTCTGTACTCATAGCCTTTGTTTGGATGAGAGAAAATAAGAGAGGAAAAAAATGTAAATGGAGAAAAAATTAAGGTGGAATTTGATTTGCCTTTGTTTAGGAAGTGGGAGGAAAACAGTGCAGCAGAGAAGATAAGTTTTATTTTCCTTTAATATTTATTCTCCTCAATTTGAAGAGAAAATAAAGAAGAAATGGATGATAAAGGAAAATAAGTTCTTCTCCCTCCTATTGAAACAAAAGGAAGGAAAATAAATTGTTTTTAGAGTTTCTTTCCCTCCTTATTTGCTTTCTTCTATTTTCTTTCCATTCTCTTTTGTTATCTAAACAGAGTATTAATATTTCGAAGGCAGAGTGTCCTACTGTTTCAATTGGATATTTTGTAGTTAAAACTTCTGTTTATTTATGCAACTGATAATTAAATTTGACAACATAAATTCAAACAATCTGGTGATAAATTTTGCAACTTTTCAAAATTACAGCTAAAAGAGACCAAGATGATTATGATTATGATATCTCTATTTACACATTTACCTCTCATTTTTCATAAATGAATTCCACAGAATTTTGTGGAATTGAATTAATTAAAAGTCCAATTTTTGATGATTTATATGTCAGAAAAAAAAATCATTTCAATTTTGTAGAGTTGAACATAACCAATTCAATCTCCATAGGAAATGATGGAATTTCAAATGAATTCCAAAAAATATATACAACTGAAGTTTTCGATCAAAATACCCATTCTGTATCTCGCTTCTCTTCTCTCTTTCTTACTCTCTCATTCTCTCACATCCTCCTCTTCCTCTCTCCTCATTTTGTTCTCTCTCCTGATCCCTCTCTCTTTCTCTTTTCTATCTCTCTCTCTTTCTCTTATCTCTCTCTCTATCCCTCTCCCTTTCTCTCTATCTCTCTCCCTTTCTCTCTATGTATATCTATCTTCCCCTCTCTCTGTGTCTTTTTTAACGGTATTTTAGATAATTATAACTAATTGAATTCTAGATTTATTCCTACATAAATATGTGGAGTTAAATTGGATTTCACCTTTCAAGTTTATCATGAAAAACATAGAAATTCATTTGCAAATGAACTAGGATTCATTTATAGTATAGATTTATTTATACCATGTACAGAGGCTTAAATTCAATAATGAGAGTATTGTGCTTCATCTGCAGTTAATAAATATTAGATAGTCTTCTTTCAGTGTGCGTTCACCAATTTTGGTAAACAGAGGATGGGTCCCTCGTATTTGGAAGGAAAGATCCTTAGAAATTTCACAAGATGTTGAACAACCTTCACGTATTACATCCTCATCTGTACAAGAGGGTGAACGAATTTCATGGTGGAAATTTTGGTCCAAGAAGCAAAAGGTTACTGAGGTATCTGTTCTATTTAATTCATTCATGGTTATTTCATGTGCATTAACTTGGAAGATACATTGTTTAATTCTTGCAACTTTGCAGGATCAGGTCCCATCTGTCACTCCTGTAGAAGTTGTTGGAGTGGTTCGAGGGAGTGAAAAGCCTAGCATTTTTGTTCCACAAAATGATCCTAGCTCTCATCAGTGGTTTTATGTTGATGTTCCTGCAATTGCCCGCGCTTGTGAGCTTCCTGAGAATACTGTCTATATAGAAGACATCAATGAAAATGTCAATTCAGCATGCCCATATCCTGTTCCCAAGGATGTCAATACCTTGATTCGCAGTTCAGTTATGCCTCAAGACCATCTAAATTATACATTGACATGGTATGTTGGTTCAGTTTCTTGATATTGGTATTTGCGTATCTGCAGTTCCTTTGTTGGTAGCTGCTTTGTACTATCGCTTCAGGGAAATTCTTGCCTACACCAAGTGTAAACTCAATCAATGGATATATCCTATTTAATTTTTTTTTTTATTCAAATGACTCTTTTGTCCATTTTTCCATTGAAAAGACACTTGTACCCTTTTTCTCCACGTGTTATTCACATTAGTTTGGTGTATGCTACCAGTGTAGGCAAGTCTTTTCCATTCTAATTCACCTTTTGCATATGTATTCTTTGATCTGTAAACCTTATGTTGCATGAGACTCAAAAAAAATCAACCTGTTCCTAAATTGTATTAACTGGATTTTTCACCTTTAGTGAAGCAGCATGCTTTAACCTTTATTCAGTGGCTAATCTGTGATGCTTTGCTTTAAAAGTTTCCTAGGATGATAATTCCGTGTACCTCGTAGTGAATCCTTGAGTGTAAACGTACACATTGGAATGCTGTAGTTGCTGATAAGTATTTTGAACTTTTTAACTCTCTAAATATAGGACAACTTTTTTGTATGCCATAGGCAAACATGAGGAATAAACTTCACTCAAAAGATTCAGGTGTTTTTGGAAGTTACTTCAGTTCCTTCTGATGATAATTATTGTGTTTTGAGCAGGTATTCTCTATCTGCTGCTGTTACATTTATGGCTTTCAAAAGACTAAGGCCAAAAAGAAGCCGGAGATAGCAGGTTGGTGGTGTAAGAGATGTACATTTGTGTGAACTTTCCTATCCTGAATTTTTCGCCAGAATCCGTTTGAAGAAATTTTTGCCAGGTTGCTGCTCAATACAATCATTTTTTCAACTAACTGAAATATCTTTTATTGGGTAATGTGTCGCAGCAATTTACAATACTGCTGGTATGTGATTATCAGAGAATTAAATCCCTGAAAATTTTTTGGTGAAAGCTGCTTTCAGCTGGGTTTTTCCTTGTCTTTTTAAATCTATATGAGAATGAATAATGTACTTTTTGACATGACTGAGGATATGAACCCAGAGGGTACAAGAGAATTTGAATGCTAGCCTTTCCAGTTGAAATTTCTATGATCTATATTTGATGTTGAGAAGACAATTTGATTTCAAGGAACACTGCTGTTACAGCTGAAGATGGTTTTAAAAGTATCTTTATCAAAGAAAAAAAGTGAAAGTAGTTGATGGAAATAAAAGAAAAATGTAATAAAAATGAATTATTTGATTAATTAAAAGGGTTTAAAAAATGTAGAACTCGATTTAAATTTGGAAAAAAAATAAAATTGTCCTAAATTATAGTTAAATTAATACGAGGAACTCTATTTTCAAGAATTATTTAGGAGATTTCTAAATTTTGATTCGGTTAATATTTTAGTCTTTTCATCCAAAATATAGAGATTATCAAAAAAAAAAAAAAAAAAAAAAAAAAAAAAAAAAATTCGGTAATATTTTAGTCTTTTTTCATCCAAAATTATAAGAGATTATCAAAAAAAAAAAAAAAAAAAAAAAAAAAAAAAATCGAAAATTATACATTAGGACTTCTGTAATTAGTTTGATTATAAATTAGAGGATTTTAATTTTCCAACTTAAAAGCCTTTTCCAATATAAGGTAAAAAAAAAAAAAAAAAAAAAAAAAAAAAAAAATCGAAATTATAAATTAGGGACTCTGTAATTAGTTTGATTATAATTTAGAGATTTTATTTCCAACTTAAAAGCCTTTTCAATATAAGGTGAATTTTATGTGTCAGTCAATTTTAATAGTAAATGGAAAATTAAAGTGTTAATAAAATTATAATTCAAGAATCTTATAATAGTGTTTGAGAACATGTATTAATTTAATTATTATAATTTTGGAATTAATTTATTCTTTTTCTTTTAAAATTTACTGTCTAAACAAAACTAGTACTAAATAATTTTATTATATAAGAGTTCAGGATTTAGCAACTAGTAAGGATTACATCGTTAATTTGATAGCCTCAACAAAATTTATTGTCTCTTAACTCTTACAATACATGTCCATAAAACAAAACAAAGTATAAATAATTAGGTAGACAAAGTAAAAGCAAAATAAAAAATATTTGAAAATATAAACCTCATTACTTGACTCTACAAAAGTTATATGAAAGATGGGAAGATTGATAAAGCACAAAGGATTGCGTCTTCAAAATTACCTGTGTCTATTTACATAAATGTCTTCACTTCAATAAAGTAAAAGGCTTTCTCTATTGAAGGAAGCTCATTTTCATCTTCTTTTATCTTTTTCAGATACTTCAATATTAATCTCTTACAAAGTTTTCTTGTACTCTTCAATCGAATTTTGAAGGGCAAGAACAAACCTTCTGAAGGTATGTTTAGCAATTTTTCTGGTTCTTTTAATAATTCATCTGAGGTTAGATCCTTGACATTGGTCCTTTCAACCTGTGAGTAATGTCTTCAAGGCAAAATGACTAGGCCACCCTTTGTAAGACAAGGAGATAGAGTTCAACAGGTTTCAGAAGTAAGATACAGTGATATATGTATTCCATTTAAAGCAATGGCTAGAGGTGAATATATCTACTTCATTAGTTTTATTGACGATTTCTCTAGAAATGGTTATTCTTGTCTTGTAAAGAATAACATGAAATAGTGAAGTAGAAAATCATTTAGGAAAGAAGATTAAAACCCAACAATGTGATTGTGGTGGTGAATACCTTACTCTTAAATTCAATCTTTTTCTTAAAGAATGTGCCATTATTTCTCAAATGTGCCATTATTTCTTAACTCACACCTCCAAAGTTATGTTAATTAAATGGAGTGTTTGAAAGGAGGAATTGCACCCTATCTCTTTTTGGGGATTCACAATTGATATTGCCTCCTAAATAAGGTTCACTCCAAATCTATCTTTACTACTCCTTATGAGATATGGATTGGTAAAGCACAAAGTCTTAATCATGTTAAGATTTTGAGATGTCCAACTTATACCAATAAGCTGAAATTTGATATATTATAGGTTTGTTGAATACCTTCAAAAAAAGTTCAAGATATTACTTTTATCTTTCAGCATAAAAAATGGTTGTTGTTAGCACCGATGTCATATTTATTTAAAAAGAGATTATTCAAAAAAGTAGCTAAGGTAGTAAGATAGAATTAAATGAGGTGTCATTTGAGGATATCCAAAAAGATGACCAAATGGAATTTGAACAACCTCGTGAAGAGCCTAAACTTATTAGTAATGTCTTCACATCCGCACCTCGAAGGTCTAATAAATATCTTATCCATCAGAGAGATATGGATTTGTTCTTAACGAACATGAGGTGTCATGATTTGTTCTTAAGCTATATCAGATATAAATTCCTCAAAATGGCTGGAAGCTATGAAATTTTTAAAATGGATTACATATACGCAAACTAGGTTTAGGAACTTATTAATACACTCGAAGGTATATCACCTATAGGGAATAAATGGATTTTCAAGAAAAAACTTAGAGCAGATGGAAATGTCAAAATCTACAAAGCGAGGCTTGTAACTAAAGGTTATAGCCAAAGGCAAGGGGTTGATTATGAGAAAACATTTTCGCCTACCCATGCTTAAATCTATGAAGATTATGTTAGCTGTAGCTTCACAATATGATATGTTTATGTTAAAATTGCTTTCCTTAATGGTTTCATTGAGCAAAACATATTCATGGAATGATCTAAAGACTTTGAATCCAAAGTTAGTATCAAAATGAGTAAACGTAAAAGATCTATTATGGTTTTAGAGCTTCAAAGAGCTGGAATCATTGTTTTGATGAAGTTGTAAGTGTTGGATTTAATTTTCTATTGTGGGCTTAATATGTAAAATTAAATATGTACAGCAGTCCAATTGTAAAGTCAATTTCAAATGTGGTCTTGATTATATGTACAGCAGTCCAATTGTAAAGTCAATTTCAAATGTGGTTTTGATTGTAAATAATTGACTATTGAGGTATCAACTAATTATAGATATTAAGTGTAGAGACCATTATATAATTCCTATTTCGTTAAAGGACCGAAATAGGAAATTGTACTAACCCATACAGGTATATAAGGTCGTGGTTCCCCAGAGGAGTTGAATACGATTCAGTTTACGGTTCTTTCGTATTGCTTCCCGCTAAATCGATTCTTCAATTTCTTCTGAAGCTGCAAACCTAATTCTATACATCAGATCGCAACGAACAACGATGTCAGACGAACAACGATGTCAGGTACGCAACCTTTTCTTATTTAATCTATTTTGTTGAATCTAGTGGTTTGCACGATCTAGGTTATTATTGAATTATTTGATATTAATTCTTAACAAGTGGTATCAGAGCCTTGTGCATAATTGCTAGATTTTAGATTGATTTTCGTATGTTTTTTTTATTTGTTTACCCTACTGTTTACGGATTGAGGGTTTTGTTTAATAAAAAATAAATAAATAAATAAAATTGTTCTCACTGTTCTTCGGATTCCCAAGAACAGGTAAGAGGTTTTGAACTAATGCCATTAACGATTAGTTGTTCGTTTGGTTTTTTTTTTTTTTTTTTTTCGCCGAAAATCCCCCCGGAGGACCCGAAAACATCCTTTTTGTGGTTTTTGATAAAATGTTTTTATTTGGATGCGATGCCGATAAATCGGTCTTATAAACAATTTTGAGTCGCCACCCTCCCTGGAAAATTTTAGATTAGGTCCCTAATTTTCTATTTTTTCGTATTAGGTCCCTAATTTTCTGTTTTTTCGTAATAGGTCCCTAATTTTCTATTTTTTTTTATTAGGCTCCTAATTTTCTTTAACTTCAGATTAGGCCCCATAATTTTCTGTAACTTCAGATTAGGCCCCTAAGTTTCTGTAACTTCATATTAGGCCCCTAATTTTCTGTTTTTTTTTTCGTCTAGACCCGTGGACATATATTTAATTATATTAGAACCCCGAACTTTATTTATTCAAATTTATTTAGTCCAATTTTATAACTTAGTCTCTAATTTAGTGACTTAAAGACTAGATTATAATTTTTTTTTATTTTTTAGGGCTAAATAATTTTAGATTATTAAATATTTAGACAATCAATTCCTTTAATTGCAATTGTTTTGCTTTAATTACAATTAAATGAATTAATTTGTCGACTTGAGATTAAATTTTGGAGTGATTAAGTCCCTATTGTGTTTAATATTTGTTAAAATAAATTGATTTGATCAATAAGTCACCCAATAAGTCACCAAAGTGACCTCTATTCCTTGAATTGATTTATTTTAGAGTATTAGACAGGTGTACTAGAATTCGTTGCGGATAGTTAATCGGCCTAAAGGAAGGTTGCTATTTGGCTGAGTTTTAAACACATGTTTGGCAATAAGTATGTGATAATTGTTGATTATTTTCCATGACAATGATATATCGGCCCAAAGGAAGATTTATTATTTGTCAGGACTATGTGTAACATCCCTTCCCGGTCCACCCATAAACCCGAATAAATCGAGCCGAGACGTTACAAACTGGTTGACTTAATGACCTGATATGCTGAATTCATAATAGCATGCTGATGTTGTTTACATAAATAATGTACTGCATATTTACAAAACATGTTACTAGTTACACAATGGAATGGGCCCAACTGTGTGCCCTGTACATGCCATGAAACAAATAGACAAAAGATATACATCCAAATGAGTAGCTACCCTGAAGACTGAGTCTTCTACAGATGAACTGCAGCAGTTGTAGGCGGACTCTCTATGGACCAGTCTCAAAACCTGCGAGTTAAACAGGTAACTCGCTGAGCAAATAAAGCTCAGTGGATATCTCAACATAAAAAGGAACACTCATATATAGAAATAAGCATGTAAACACATATAGCACATATAAGCACACATATCGCGATACTTTCAGTTTACCTTGATGGTCTTTATTTCTATTTAGTATACTGTATGATTCATGCAATGATAAAGCAAGATATCTGTATAGCTCCATAAGGTTATAGTGAAACCGAAGTGATAAGAAAAACTAAATTAACCTTTATGAAGTTTGCTGGCAATGGTGGTGTTCGGGAGCATATTCTTAGCATGTCTCAGATTGCAAAGAGACTGAAGTCGCTGGGGATGGCTTTACCAGA